TTTTGAATTATTTTTCAGTTAGATCTATTACCTTTACTTCCTCAGAAATATCCTCTATCTCTCCCTCTTGGTCATTTGTTTGAGCCATTCTCTCTTGTTTCTTTGTGTGAGCTAAAATTGGCTGTTGTCTTTGGGGCATTGTGAGGTTGCCTTATTTGTAAAAACAAATAGTGCAGTTGTTGGACCCGGAGTGGAGAAATCTCTGCGGGCTTCTGCGATTCAAAGAGCTCATGAGATGGTTATGGAAGGGATGTGGCAGCAAAGTTACTGGTCCTAGGCATAGTTCCTATTAGTCTCTGTGTTCAGGGCACTCAATCTGGAAGTAGTTCTTGGGGGCCCTTGGTGGAGCTGTTTCCAGTATCTATTAGGACCACAGGAAAGTTGGGGTAGGGTGACTGGTTAAATGCTGGTCTGGTGACTCTGAGGGTTTTGTACATCTGGAGACTACCTGAATCCAGGTACCAAAATGGCACACCAAAGTGGTACAGAGGGCCCCCGTCTCACTCTGGCATGCCTCCCAACCATGTGGTTCAGCACTCCCAGAGAGCAGGGTCTGCATTGGGGGTAGATGAGGGTGGGAGCTTACCAGACTTTTGGTCACCAGGCGAGCATGGGGGAAAAAAGAAAAAAATGCACCTTTGCCTTTGTCCATGCAAAAGCCAGGCCTTCCTCCACTGCCAAAGCTGCTCACAAGATGGTGGAGCCCTGTCTGGCCAGATGTTCACCAGTCCATCTCCCTCTCCCACCATCCCTGCTTGGCTACTCCTCCCAGCAAGCACTCCAGCCACCTCTTCAGCCTTTCTTCTGAAGTTCAGGGTGACAAAATTTTCATCTGTGTCTCTTTTATTTTGTCTCTTATGTCTTCATTGTAGAGGTTCCTTGATGTCTGCCGAGTCTGCCAGAAGTCCCCCCATTAATTAACTTTATAAATATTTTTTTTGTTTCATAAAATTTTGCTGTAGTAACCATAATATACTTACTCTATTCTTATTTTGACCTTATGATGGCTTTGAATACTTCACTATTTATAAATATTTCTGCAAATATAGATCTTGGCACCAAGGAACTGCTAATCAAATTTAGCTTTTTTCTTTAAGATTGATTCCAGAAGTGGAATCATTGTATCAAGTAGTAATATTTTCTGACTCACAATACTCACAATGAAATAACTTTCTAAAAGAATCAGCTTTTGTTCCCATCAATGATGTATGAGAATTCCCAGTTCATCACACTCCTACCAGGAGTGCATTATTGTTTTTTTAAATTTGAAAAGCAACAGAGCTGCTATTTATTTGAGCTTTCGTGTCTTTGAGTATTAATGTAGCTGAACATATTTTCTAGTTATTTAAAAAGTAGTTTGGGTATTTCCTTTTATGAATCATCGGTTTCTGTGAAGCATTTACAGCCAGACACTCTGCTTACCAAGTTTGAAAACGCTTCTTAAAACGTTGTAGAACTTTTGCCACCATATAGTCAATAAAGTTAAAACCCTCAGCACTTTTTTCAGAAGGAATCTTGAGTGTGAAAATTAGGGAAGACAGAATGCTTAACTCTACCATTATTTCATCTGGTTTGGAATATTTTTCTCCACGAACACTTGGAGCTACCTAGAGCAAAGTGTTATAAAATAGAAGATGACTAAGTTCCACTACATATTCAGGATTAGTTTAATAGCACATTAGTCAGTTGTTAGTAAGTTGTGCTAGGGTAACAAACCTGCTCTGGTATTCCATACAACAGAAATTTACTTCTCACTCCTGCTACGTATCCATTACAAGGTCTCTATGCACCTTGTAATTACAAGGTAGTCAGGTCTGACCTTCTGCCAGTTTGTCATATCGTGGTGGCTTGTATGTTGCTACGGTGCCAGTAGCTAAACCACCAGTACGTCATATGTTAGTGTGATTGCTCATAGTGGACAGGTTTTGGAAGTTTCCAGATGAAAAGACTACGAAGAAATGCTTGATGAATAAAATAAAATACTTCTGAAAATCTGCCAGTGAAAACCTTATAGACCACAACAGTACACTGTTCAACTCACAAAACTTTAGACATGTCACCAGGAGGGCACAATCACTAGAGGAAAACACAATGTTTGGTGAAGTAGAGGGTCTATGAGGGTAAGGGAGATCCTTGAGGTTTTGAATACTAGTATTCTAGCCATAACTATGGGCTCTAATATGCCATTGATAGTGAGAAAGACACAAGACCAAACATTTCACTCCACTGTATGTAGGGTCACCATGAGTTGAAGTCAACTAGACAGCAGTTGTCTCTCTCGCTGTTGTATCTATCCATACCATGCAGACACTCAGGACCCTGGTTGGCAGAGACCCCACCATCTCCTGGCCTGTAGCAATGGAACATATGACTTTCTTTGTGCCCTCCACACAGAATGAGTCACATAAAGACTTTTCACCATTTCATTACTCCTTGCATTTCATCAGCCAGAACTTGTCACAGACACAAACTTAACGAAAGCACGAGGAAGCAGATGGATGGTTTACTACGCACTACTGTCTGCCACAATGTGACATGAACAAGCTTTGTACTGAATTTTCCTAGGACAATGACAGTTTATGGTTGTATGTGTGATTGCAAGAACTGGTCATCTGAAATGCATTTCAGTTATCTTTTATATGAATTCCCAAGTACATGTACTTTGATTTTAATGTTGTTATTAAGTGCCTTCAAGTGGGTTTCGACCCCTAGCGACTCTGTATAGGGTTTCTGAGGAGCGGCTGGTGGGTTTGAACCGCTGATCTTGTGGTTCAAACTGACCTTGAGGTCCAGTGCTTTATCCTTTTGACATGCAACTTAATGTAGTCTTAAGACAACTATTTAATAAATGTTTTCAAATAAATTTCCTTGTAAAAAACAACAAGAAATTCCTTTATATCGATCTATATATATATAAGCCAGGGAGACACTGTCCCAATCAAAGAACTATATACTGAGTAGTTTCTGATCATAAACTGTAACTTCATACTTCCCTAACAAACCCCATAACTCTGTGTGTGTGTGTGTGTGTGTGTGTGTGTAGGTCAAATAAAATACTAGGTCAAATAAAAATGAGTAATTTCTGAATTCTGTTTATGAAGGAATAGTTAACATAACTTTTCCCACTTTCTCTACAAAACATCTGGTTAGTTTAATAAATAATTATAAAATAACCAATCATGTAACCGCAGTCCAAGCAGTATATATATATTTCACCTGCTGGAATTTGGGTTATTTCTTATGTGAGGTTCCTCTTTAGTCCTAGCTGTTTTGTGGCTTTATGCTTCCTTTACATGATGAAATATGAACTGCTTTGAGAAAAGTAACTCACAAGCAGTTTAACAAAGTGGTTAAATTCACTAATTCTGGAGAAGTGCTGCTTGAGAGAATCCCAGCTCTATTCCATACTAGCTGTGTGACGTCAGGCAAGTTCTTTAACCTCTTTTTACTTCATCTGAAAATGAGAAAACAATAATACTTAGCTTGTTGTTTTTAAGAGCTGTCAAGTTGGTTCTGACCCACAGCAACCTTGTAAAGGGTTCCCAAGGAGCGGCTGGTGAGCTTAAACTGCTGACTTTGCGGTTCAAACTGACCTTATGGTCCAGAGCATTAACCCACAGTGCCACATCAGGACTCGCAATACTTAACTTATAGGGTATTAAGTGAGCTGATATATGGGAAATTTTAGGAGCATGGCCTGACACATATAAATGCTCTCTGGTGATAATTGTCCTGGTGTGTGGCACTGTGGGCTAATGCGTCAGACTGCAAGGACGATTTGAACCACAAGGTCAGTGGTTTAGCTCACCAGCCACTCCTCGGAAACCCTATGCAGGGTCGCTATGGGTCAGAACTGACTCTACCGCAATTAACAACAACAATAATTATTACAAAGATACAGACTTGAAAACCTTAATTTTACTTAATATGGGGTTTTTATACAGAAGTCCTGGTATAGTGTTGTGGGTTAATATGCTGGACTTCAAGGTTGGTTTGAACTGCAAGGTTGGTGGCTCAAGTTCACCAGCCGCTCCTTGGAAACCCTATACATACAGAAGTGCACTTTTGCTATCAATATAAAGAAATTCAGATAAATCTGCTAGTGTCACTTAGAGACACTAGAATGTAAGCAAAGTGAAACAGAATAGAAAGTACGGACAAGAAGAAAAACAATTAAGTATTGTCTATAGCTTTCTAAACGGAGCTCTGGTAGCACAGTGGTTACGAATCGGGCTGCAAACCACAAGGTCAGAAGTTCGAAACTACCAGCTGTTCTGCAGGAGAAAGATGAGGTTTTCTGCTTCCGTAAAGATTTACAGCCTCGGAAACCCTGTACAGGGTCGCTATGAGTCAGAACCAACTCCACGGCACATAACCACAACAACAATATAGCTTTCTAAATGTTAAAAGCAATGTTAAGAGGTTTTTAAAAAAATTTATTCTTTAAGATAAGACTTTATCGCAATAAAATATGGTTCTGTACATGGGAGGATGATCAAATACATTGAATTATTTTTATCCTAAGGTATGATCTGGTGGGATAATAGAATCATAAATTTAGTAGGAAGACTTTCAAAATATTTTTAGCTGTAATCTACAGTAACAAATGCATTCCCTTTCATTTATGTGTATATGCGTGCACATACACATACTGGAAATAAAAGTCCCATGGCATCTGTCCATGACTAATTATATGCAATGAGCTTCACTACTATTTTCTCTTCTAGTCTGTCTTATTCTATTTTTATTTTATTCACTTTTTAAATTTGTGACTGTGACTCTTTAAACTGATTTCTCAAACCACACATGGATCACAAATTCACAGTGTGAAAAAGAGTGAAATAGTGGATTATAGAATGTCATTGGTCAGATTCCCTAGAAGCAGACCCTGATACAAGTGACCTACCAAGAGGTGTTTTCAACAGGACCTTAGTCTCGGGAGACACTTTAGTCAACTGGCATAACAGTCCCCTAAGACAATGTTCTACATCCTACTTTGGTAAGTAGCTACTGGGATCTTAAAAGCTTGTAAGCAGTCTTCTAAGGTGCAACTATTGGTCTCTCCTTGTCAGAGGCAAACAGAGTGATGAAAATTGAAGTAGATTGGAAACAATTAATCATAGTCCAAAGGACTAATGGACTACGTGAACACCGGTCTCCAGGATCCTGAAGCCAGAAGAACTAGATGGTGCCTGGCTATCAGTACCAAGTGCTCTGAAAGGGATCACCTTAGAAGGTCCTGGATAGAGTGGGAGAAAATGTGGAACAGAACTGGAAATCATAAACAGGACCAGGCTTATTGGTCAGATAGAGACTGGTAGAATTCCAAGACTATGGCCCTCGGTCACCCTTCAGGTCTGGGAGTAAACTCACCTGCATGGCTCACCTCAGTTTTTCAGGTGAGAAAACTCACCTCAGTTTTCAGTCAAGCAAGAGGTAGGAATTTAAGGGGGGCAATAATACTAGTGAGGTAGGCACACCATAAAACAATCACTTATCCAAGAACAAGGTTCAGAAGTGTGTGGAAAGGAGACAAGACACCCTGGGACGAAGTGGGATAGGTGGTAGTACATTGAGGACCATGCAATCATTGAGATGAAATGAAGTCTATGATTTGTTGACTGCAAAACTGATAATCTTCTCTATAATCCTTCACTCAATTTACAATAAAAAGTTATAAGAAGAGAAATGTTCTCAGATGAAACTTTTAAGGGGATGAAGAAAGCAAGCTAGAAAAGAGGGAGAAGTTTAGCAAACATGCCATTTCAGGTGACCTCTAGCCTCTGCTTGATCTTGTAGGGAGTGGTGGTGGTGGTTATGTGCCGTGGAGTTGGTTCCAACTCATAGCAACCCTGTACAGGGTTTCCAAGGCTGTGAATCTTTACAGGAGCAGAAAGCCTCATTTTTCTTCTGTGGAATGGCTGGTAGTTTTGAACTGCTGACCTTGAGGTTAGCAGCCCAACTTGTAACTACTATGCTACCGGAGCTCCTCCTATACGGAGCGCTAAGTATAAATTATCCCAAGGACAACTCTTAAGAGAAATTTGCAGGGGGAAGCAGTTAGCAGCAGCAATAGCTGAAGTTGGTAAAAGGGATTAACACTATGCATTTCTGTTTATGTTATGCAAAAGGAGCTATTGATTGAATATAGGAGACATGTATTGATGTAATTTAAGATGGTAATATGTTTTTATGTGAAGATTAATACAGTCACCAAAACCTGTTGCTGGCAAGTCAATTCTGACTCACAGTGACTATAAGACAGAGTAGAACAGCCCATAGGATTTCTTAGGCTGGAATCTTTTGGAAGCAGACTACTACTTCTTTTTTTCATGGTGTTTGATATATATATATATATACACACACACATATATATAGTACATATAGTATATATTGTTGTTGTTGTTATGTGCCGTGGAGTCGGAACCGACTCATAGCGACCCTGTACAGGGTTTCCGAGGGTGTAAATCTTTACGGGAGTAGAAAGCCTCATCTTTCTCCCGCGGAGCAGCTGGTA